TTCTAGACCTGCCCGCGAATCGAACCCGCCACCTCCAGCTTCGTAATACCGTGCCTTTACTGACTAGGCTATTTGAGGCCTCTACGATATGTCTACCATAACTTCTATCTCTATTTATTAATTATTAAAATATGTACAAAATCAACATGTTGGCGAACTAGTGATTTATTTATTTCTGTAATTGTATTAGAAATACAATTCATTGCATTGGCAAAATTCTTTGTTATTTGGTGCAGGAGTCACTTTATGAATATCAATATCAGACTTAGGGGATCATTTATTCGCTAGATAAGTGATGAAATAACAGAACTGCACTAGAGAACATGTTAGAACCTGTTGTGAAAGGTCAGCGGTCAGAGTATTTAAATAGTAATAGTTTCAATCCTTTAAATTTGTCGAACCTCTTAACGGAATCCCTTTATGAAGAGCTTTGAGTGGGTTGGTTTATTTCTTTTAAATTCCGTTATAATTGGTTATCTTTTGACAGATACGCGTATTTCGTCTACTACTTGCAGACTTCATCAGTGCCAGTGCCAAGTACTCAGTGGTGTTGAGTACTTGGCACTGATGAAGTCTGCAAGTAGTAGACGAAATACGCGTATCTGTCAAAAAGTAATAGTTTGTTGATACCAAAACGATCGGTATATCGGGAACGTCATTCTAGTGAATCCGCGTTGAATTTGGTATTATGGGGTGTTTACACTTATGCTTTTTCACTAGCGCTAATGCAAGCAAAAAAGCTCACTAGCATAATGTAAACAGGGCATCAGTGTCTACCAGCATAACATTTCAGGAGCAACTGAAATTCGTTCTAGTTGACGAGTACACTAGCGCGAGTAAATCCGCACAGATGTAAACAGCCCATTAGCGAAGTGGTAAGATAGCTTGGAGCGTAAAGATACGATTTTAGCTGTTTTTTTGGATCTAAACCGGAGTTTTGAAGCATTTTCTAGGAGTTATGGTGACATAACTCAACGGACTGCTTTTAATGATTTTGTTTCCCGTGAGGAATAACCTTGGAGTTCCCCAGGGAACTATATTAGGGCCTCTTTTATTTATTATGTCAATTAATGAGTTGCGACGTGTTTTACTATTTTCCGACATTAATCTTTTTGCAGATGATACTGTGTTATTCATTGTAGCTAAGGATTTAGATGATGCCGCTTTACACTTGAATGAAGATTTGCATTCTCTAAGCAGATGCAATTGAAATTGAATATAAGTGAAACTAAATTCATGGCATTTCGCGGAACTTCTCCGTAGTAATTGATGATGAGGATATTGATAGCGTTCGGGAGATTAAATATCTTGGCGTAGTTATTGATGACAAACTTAAGTTCAACTCTCACATTGACAATGTCATCAAGAAAATTGCAAAGAAGTATGGAATTCTATGTCGATTAAAAAACGATTCAAATATTACCAGTAAAATACAGCTATACAAATCATTCATCTCTCTTAATCATTTTATTTTGAGCCAATGCCACACAAATATCGAGATTACTGTGCTCGCAGAATAAAATATTGCCTAAATAGATTCACTTCCTCAACTTTGATGCTAGACGGTGTGAAGCAAATGTGGTTGTCGGTGAAGTAAATAATTGTATATTTGACTATGGTGTTCATGTTTAAAGTAGTTAACGATTTGCTGCCTCGATATTTGTGTGATCGAATTGAAAGAGGATGTGATTTTCATAGATATAAGACTAGAAACGCGGATGAAATAAGAACATCACATTTCTTGACCTGCGCTTCACAAAATTCATTGTATTTTAAAGGAATAAATATTTTCAATTCGATGCCTAGACACATTAAACCTGCAACTACACTTACAGAATTAAAGATACAATGCATTTCAAACGTTAAAACTGTTAATTTATTTTTTGATAAACATAAAAAGGAACATTGAAGCTTATTTGACTGTCGGGGGTTTGTGAGCATTCCTTACGTTGTTGAAAATTACGATAGCATCAGATTACGGACTTGCTAGTGTATTAGAATGTGTTGTTGATTATTCATGATCTGTTGATCGCTGGGAATGTTAGTGACTATTTGAGGTGAACAAAGAGGTGAACGCTTAAGCTTTTTCACATTTATATCGCTGTGAAGCAACTGAAAATTGTTGAGGGAATTTATATCTATAACTGTAACCAGTTCGTTTTTGTTTGCTAGTCTGGTCAAATGTTATACTTAATTACCTTAAAGATAAATCGTCCACTTCAAATCTTTGTAGGGGTAAGCGGTGGTACCATCATCTTATCATCTTAGTTCCGTTAGAAAACACGGCCGTTGAATGTTGAACCTGACTCATTTTTTGAATTCTGTTTATTTAAATTTGCAAAAACGCAGGTCACTCATAGACTGAGTACATTTTCCCCGATTTTCTTTAGAAATCTATTCGTACACGCAAACCAAAAATTTATTACAATGAAAGTTAGTTCTATTTCCTATCATCCTCTGTTCATGAACATCGCAACGAATGTTTGAAGTTGACCTTGCAGACGATGCAATGAACACAAGCGAGCATTTGCATTGATTATTATGTATAACATGGTAGAACGGCGCAAACACTTGCCTCGAATCTCTCCAGCAGAAAAAAAAAACAAACAAAGTCGAGTATGCGAGGAAATGTGTGCTTCCTGTTTGGTTTTAGCCTATCGATATCCCGAAGCATAGATAGAGTAGTGGAGGAAGCATAGGCCTGATAATCGTTAGTGGTTCGAGTCCCCTAGTCGGCACTTTTTTTTCGACATGATTAATTTCACTAAATAATACACTCCACATTTTTCTTTCTCCATTTTCTTGCATTGGACCGCAGCTCGGTGTATGGCATCCTCTGTTCATGCGATCTCCACTAACATCCTAATTGTAAGCGAATTTTACATCCCCCGGTTGGGTATATATTAAGAAAATCGATGAAAATATTAATCAGTCCGAACCGGAGATGAACCAGCCCCAGGTTGAAAATCTCTCAAATAAAGAAATCAAATCGATCAAATTAATCAATCGATGAATATACTCGAAGACTGACTAAAAAATTTCTTGATTTTCCTCATCATCACGCAGATACTTGAGGAAAATCGAAGGAAAATTTACTCAGTCACTCATAGACTGCGTTTTCACGAATGTGAGTAAATGGAATTCAATTTGAGTCGGAATCAACGGCCGTGTACGACAGCGCGAACACTTGTATAGAAGTTTAAATTGAGCGAGGACAATACTACCCATAAGCGCACAATAGTCCCATTTGAATAGGAAATCAAGCAAAAATGACACAGTTATGCTTTTATGGGCAGAATATTGCAGATAATACGAATCAAACAAAGATTTATTTTGTCAACCTACCTATTTGGTAAGTCTGAAAATCAAGCGTGGTGACATAACTAACGAGACTAACTATTTGTACTTATTTTCTAAATTGTAGAGCAAGGTCAGGCTTTATAGAAAACGTTTTGATTATCCGTCCATGTCCGTTCTATAGAGCAGAAATATCAAAAATATCAATGATCTCGATGGGAACGAATCAATCATGCGTTTGGTAAGATAGTTTAGGTTAAAAACTACAAAACAAAGTCTATAAGAACGCATAATATGAATATATGCATCAATTCTTCTAGAAAACAAAAGATTACATTTTGTCTACCTTCATCCGTATGCCGAAGTGAATCCCGTGACGTGAATCCCAATGTGTCTGAACGGATTTTTTTTTTATTCTTTATTATAGAGACTTTTAGCCCTAGGCTAGTTCATCTCTATATTGGACGGAATTGAAACTCTTATGACGGAATTGGAATCAAGAAGCAGTGTTATTTTTTTTAATCGTTCGAAAAAACAGGTAAATTTTGGGTTGTGTTTAGTATGACGGAAATTATATCTTAACCCTATGAGAATTAATACGACAATTTTTTGTTGCTCATGTGTGAAGAGCTAGCTGATACGCTCTTGAACGTACATATACGTTGGTCTGTGAATATATCTTATCTAATGCGTTGACAAATCTTCCACCTGGATGATTGGTGACCATCAGCACCAATTGCTCAGGTGGAAGATCTTTCAACACATTAGCTTTGATTAAAATCAAATTGAAGACATCGATGACTGACGATAAACTGAGCTTTCTTTGTTTGCTGAGCATCGAAAGTGATATTCGATGGATTTTGAAAAAAAAAAATACATATAAAGGACGTTTGGTATTTTCGGAATTCAGGAGATGCTCGAATAGTAGTCAACGCAATTTATTTGGGACTGAATGACAAAAATACCAAACATTCATTTTGAAAATCAATACCAGCCGAAACCCTGAATCAATCGTTTATAAAGAAACTTTCTGAAGGTTTTTTTTTCTTCGATTTGTTTTCCGTCGATCTTGTTTTCCGTACCGAGTATCAAAGCTACCGATGCCAGGGAGACAGCTCCCACTCCTGGACCCTACACCTATCGACCCATCAACTCATGAACCGGGGACCAACGGCTTTACTTCCCTTCTGAAGGAAGGCGTGATCAGAGATTTTATGCCTCAGAAAATCCCGGCGGCGCCGACTGGGATTGAACTCAGGCCTTTTGGGGTGGGAGGCAATCACGCTTACCTCTACACCACCAGCGCCGCTCTTTATGAAGCTGATTATCGAAGATAATTCTTTGTGCAAATTTATAATCATTTACTTTCCTGTATTTTTTAAATATTTAAGATTGAAATTTAGAAAATATTTTAAAATTTATACAACGAAACCAATTAATATGGGGGCCTCCCTAATGAAAGCAGCCCCGGGTATCCCGGATCCTTTACCTTTTTTAACACATACTCATATTTTGTGGTTATGAATCAAACTGGAGAAAGGCCTTAATGATTGCACATACTGTTTACAGAATGAAGCACCCTAATCGTCAGTTAATCCATTATGAGACGTACATTTCAGTACGTTTATAATTCCTATGTATGATTCAGCACAGTTGCACAGTGATCTAGAGCAATTTCTAAAACCACTCTTTTTTTTCAACAGTACCTTACATGCCGAGAGAAACATGGGATGCCAAGCCGCCAAAAAGTGTAGAAAAATTCTCCGGACTTATTCCGTTCGTGATCATTCACCACTCGTACGAACCCGGTGCCTGTTTGACCGGTGCAGATTGCCGCAATGCTATGCTGAGTATGCAAAAGTTTCACCAACAGGATCGAGGTTGGAATGACATCGGATACACTTTCGCCATCGGTGGCGATGGACGAATTTACGAAGGCCGAGGATTCAACGTCATCGGAGCTCATGCCCCTCGGTACAACGATAAGAGTGTTGGAATCTGTATGATTGGTGACTGGAGATGTAAGTCGCAAATAGCTCAAAACTAAACATATTAGATGTTCACAATAATTCATAACCGTTGCAGATGAACTGCCTTCGGATGATATGATCACCGCTGCCCAGACCTTAATCGAGTACGGTGTACGAAATAACATCATAGCTTCTAACTACACACTAATCGGTCATCGTCAGGTAAGACCTACGGAATGTCCAGGCGATAGACTATTTCAGGAGATTCAGAGCTGGCCCCATTACTCGCCTATGTTGGACGTTGTGGATCCCAACAGTATTAAAACGTCTGACTGAATAAAACCAAACTTATTAGTTTACTGTTACACTGGTATATTTCGTATGATTTGCTTATAAAAGAACGGCAAAAGAATGCCCATTCATAATACCCTGTTCAAGGCAGCTTTGCCTTTATTGCATTCACTAAAACCTTATTAAGACTAAAATCTGTCTAGTGGTCCACCCTGGAGAAGGTGCTGAAGGGTATATTTGCGAGGCACTTAAGGATTGATTTGCTGCTTTACATAACAATTGCAGGGAGAACTATTTTAAAATCATTTTTTATACTGAAATAAAAGCAATTTGGCATAAACTAATTTAGTTCCATTCCAGGGCTGTCAAAATAGTGAAATTTGAAAAAACAAGTGACCAAATAGTGACTTATAGTTGTGAAAAAAAGTAATTAAAAAGTGACCTAAGAGAAGAAAACTAGTCGTTCTGATGGCACACCAAATAAATGTTTGATGTTTTAGACTTATTCTATTCGTATCTCATAAACACCTATGAACGATATGAACCGTCAAAGTGAAAGTCTAAATGGATAGCGTATGACCAAATTCACGGTATTAGCCAGGGTGTCTACTAGCTGGAAAACCAGGAATCCTCAAGAAATTATCTTTTACTTGAAAATACCTGGAAATCTCAGAGAATCTCATCATTACTGATGGAATTTTTTTTACTAAGGATATTTTAAAGAAAAGGATGCATTTTTAAATACAAACATTTAATTTTCCTCGTTATTTTCCACCTTCACATCCAGACCTCTAGAGTGGATTAATCTTCAGTAACAGATAAATTTTAAAAATTTAGAGACTTGAAATGTGTCTTTTTCTTTTGGTCCTAGAATAAAAAATTTTAAAATTGAACAAGGTTTTGAAATTCTGGTCTTAAAATTTATAATGCATACATTTTCGAGAATCTAGAGTCAAATTTCTTGCACAGTTTTAAAGGCTAATGGAATTATATTATAATTTCTATGGACCTAATTCCAAGGGAGCTCTGGGAAAAAAATCTTTGAGAAAAACATCAAGTGCAATCTGCTTTCAATGTATGTTGGTACTTCGGGGAATTTTCGATTTCATGTGAAGCCTGAAATAGTTTCTAATAGAATTTCAAGAAAACCCTCAAGTAAATTTAAATGGAAATTCATATGAATTTCTGAGGAGCAGAACTCTTGAGAACTTCAGAGGAAAATTCCAAGGGCAATCTGATGATAATTTCATGAAGTTTGTGAGAGAAAACTAATCCGGAGTATAAGTCCTTTGTATTTTTTTTTTTGAGAATACTTAGGGGGTGAGAGGGCTGCTAAAACGAGGATTACAATTTAATCTGAGAATAACTCCAGGAGATCTTCAAAGATATTCGGAAAAGAATTCCAGGAGAGTTTGTCAAACAAATTATGAGGAGAAATCTAAGGAATTTGTCAGAAAAATGCAAATGAATGCTTAGGAGACTTTCATGATGATCGATGACCGGTTAAACTTCAACAGCCACGTCAAATATGCCTGTGAGAAGGCTTCGAAGGCCGTCAACGCGATAGCTAGAATCATGCCGAACAACTCTGGTCCAAGCAGTAGGAAGAGGCGTCTTCTGGCCAGTGTCTAGTCGTTGGTACTGAGGTACGGAGGTCCAGCCTGGGTTGCAGCACTGTAAACGAAGCAGAATCAAAGGAAACTGAGCAGTACGTTCCGGCTCATGGTGGCCATGCGAGTCGTGAGTGCGTACAGAACCATCTCGTCGGAAGCAGTATGCGTTATTGCCGAAATAATCTCTATCGGCATCACCCTGGCGGAGGACAGCGAGTGCTACAGGCGTAGAAAAGCCGGACGAGTACGGCAACAGGAGTGGAACACGGTAGAATGGGCACATAGACCAATACCGATTCTTTGGACCTGGGTGAACAGAAAACAAGGAG